CATGTTGTTCGGTGACGTGGCCAAGGAGAAAGCCCTACCAGCCCACGGTATTTCCAGGATTTAATAAAAACACTCACACTAGGAAAGAGCACAAAGCATGCCTGGTGCTTTGTGTGTTTCCTGAAATCCAAGGCATTTAATAAGGATTTGGGAGCATTTCAAACGTATGGGAAGGTCACTGGGAAAAGGCAGTAAAGAGTGTTTGGCTGCCAGGGATTTTTACCGTGCTGCTTTTCATTTGCATTTTAAAATTGCCAGGCATGCTGAAATTTAGAAAAACAACAGAAATTAGTTGGGAGAAAATCAGGTTAATCTGTGCCTCCTGAGATTTCCTGGAAAATGTTGGTGCAGTGTACAGGGGGAAGGGACGGTGCTGAGCTGGGAGCTGGAGCTGGAGTATTCCCCGGCAGCAAGGGCTGTGCTCCGAGCCGGCACCGCTGAGCGGAGCTGTTGGAAGCGACGCTGGCAGAGCCGCCGAGGCTCCAGAGAGCCAGGGCTGCAAAAGCAGACTAAATCCTTTAGAAACAGAGTAACTGTCCGTCTGCATGTGCACTGAGGGTGCCAGCACCGCACTTGGGGCTGCATGGAGGCTCCCAGCTACAGCAAGTGCGAGCTCTCCTTTTGGACTCCTCTGTCCCTTCTCTTTATATTTGTTCCTGGAATAAAACAGAGGATTTCCAAAGGGAAACCCTGTGTGCAGTGTGAGCACGAATGCCTATGGCTTGAACACTTACTTTGCATATACGAAGATAAAAGCGCCTTTAATGCCATGAGGAATCTGATCTGGGCTTGTTGCAGTAACAACTCAGGGGACCCAAAACCTACTTTTATCTCTAAACTAAAGCAGTTGATATCTCCTGTGTGCGTCCAGTTAATGTACCAGTCTCTGGCTGTTTGAGACAAATATTACAGGGTCTATCAGCCAGTACACCCGTTAACTTTAAAGGAGTTTTGCCAAAGTAAAGGACTGAATTTGAACATGCAGCACACAGAAGATAGGACCTGTAAAAGGGGTCTTGACCCCTCCTTTCCCAGCTGCCCCTTCCCAGAGATTGATCCTTCTTCAGGGTAATTATCTTACCAATATCATCATACACATCCCGGTGTGTTCTGCTTTTTGGGTTGCCTTTTTTTTTTTAAAACCTGCCCAGGGACACAAATGCTGGGGTGTGTGATCATTGCTCTGCTCTGGGCATGGTCTGTCTGCTTTGCCAACGCACACACCAACGTGCTCACACTGCGGAGTCTCAGCAGGTTCCTCTCCTATGAAAATCAAAGGCAATAAATATCCCATGTATCAACTGTTCTGATTTAAAATACTCTCCTGAAATCAGTTCAGCCAAAGGCAGTAAATAACGTGCAGCCGTTGGGAATCTTTTATTGCTCATCCAAACTAGCAATACTTTATTTTGCAATATGTTGAGTGTAGGAAGGGATGCACTTCCATGCCTGTAAGTAATGATACAGTCAATATTGTCATCAACAAAGCTGATATATGTCCCTTTTTTTATCACCCCTTTCTCCCTCTCTTCCTTGTTTTTCAAGCACAGCATCCTTAAAAAACCCCCGTACACCCCAGGATTTTGCCTTCCTAACCCACCTTAGACACTCCTGACTTTTAGGGAGAGCCTGTCTATAGTGAGTCCACTGGGAACTGATTTTAAAGGCTTGAATCAGCCCAGCGTGACCTGACTCCGGAACCTGCTCTAACAGGTATTTGGGGTGGGTGCTCGGACATCAACGGGAAAAAGGTTGATGCTGTCTCTTAGCACCCGCCTCTTGCAGAGGTTTCTCTCTGCTGCTTTCCATGCCCTTCAGAAAAATCCCACCCGGCAAAATCAGACGGGAATAGGATTAATATGAAAACTTCCTAGTGGTCCCCAACAGCAACTGGAAAAAGCAAAGATGAAAAACACTTGGGTCAACATAAAAGGGAGTGAGGCAACCTGTGGGCCTCGCATCTTGGGCACTGTGGGACCCTCAGCTCAAAGTCCAGGCAGTTTTAATAGATGAGGACTCTGGGTGACATTTTCCTGCAAGATTTTAAGTAAATGCCTTGCTGTAACATTTGAGATCAGGCTTCTCTTGGTTTCCATGACTCTTTCCCTTTTTAAGCCACAGACACACACATACAAAATATATTAAAAGGAGCCCAGCTTAGCTAAAAGGTCGGCTAGTTCAGAAACAAACAGCAGGGATTTAGGTTGAAGGCTTTGGCACACAAGAAGAGAGTGGTGCATCTCCAGCTCTGCTTTTGCTTGAAGGGGAATACGGATTAAAACCTTGCAGGGAGCAGAAGTGAAGGCAAGAAGAGATACTTTTGTCATTCGTTTCATTATTCCACACCACGAAAGGGACTTCACACATCCCCCAGGCCACGCACGAGCAGTGGGGACAGTAAAGGGGTGCTGGATAGATGCGCTACCTGGCGAGGCAGGAATGGGGTTGATGTCTTCCTTTGGCAGGGCTGAACCTCTGCCTGCTCCGAGGCCAGGGTTGGCAGGGGGTCAGCTCTGGACCAGCAGTAGGTGTCCAGCTCTGTAAAAGCGATGCGAGGACAGAAAGTAGAACCTGCCCGGACAAAAAGCTTTCTAAAAAGAGAGGGGAGAGGTTGACCCCTTTCCTTACGGAGAGAGGGAAGACTTTCTTTTACTTTCTTCTTTACAAGAAATGACCCGCACTTCTGCATGGGGAATGGCAAGGCTGCATCCCAGAAGACAAGCTCTTTGCTCAAACCCAGATCTATGGGAAAAAGAACAGGGCAGAGCTATCTACCCATGCTAGTGAGAATGCTTCACGTGTGGCTGAGACAAACTTGCCAAGTTATTAATGGCATTTATTAAACTAATTAGCTCATAGAAATACGCTGCTGAGGCCTTTAATGATGGGAGCACCCAGCCTGTTTGTTGGGAGGTCAGTACTCTCCTGATGTACTTTTACAAAAGGAGAGATTTGGCTGGTACAAACTGCACCAGCCTGTTAAAAGTGTTGATTGTAAATCAACAGCCACATTGATTCCAGGTAGCTGGTATTTCAGTGTGTAATTAGAATTATTTTTTAACTATATTTCTTGATACTCCCTGCCAGTACTTAGCGTGGAGGGAAAGCGGAGGAGGCAGCACATGGAGCACTCGGGAACAGCTGCTGGGACAGAGCAGGGAGATGCAGTACTCTCCTCGTTAGCAGCCGTGCTTGTGCATCGCCTGTGTGCAGAAACATGAGGTAACAGAATCCAAAGCAGAGCATTTCTAGAGACAGCGATTGATATAAACATGCACATCCACACTGTAAAATTAGACCAGCAGATGGGTATCTTGCTTGTGGGGATAGCAATTGCTTTCCACAAGGCCAAAATGAAGTTACAGGACCAGGAAGGGACAATAACTCTTCATTATAGACAAAGATTCCAAAGGAAATCACTTGCTGCCTCTGTGGGCAAAGTGCTTTAGTCCAGGAGCATGGGTTTGTCCTTGGACCACAGGGCCATAAGTTCCCTCCAACTTGGGGGTTGAGGAATAGGGACACCGGGCACCCAGGAGAAGGCTTGCATCCCAGCTGCGGCTCTCCTTCAGACACCAGTACAACCCACCGCTTATTTCATGTTCCACTTTCCTTCTTCAGGATAAATACCCTTGATCCATCCCAAGAACCTGTCCAAGGACCAGGAACGATGGGTGAGACCAGCTGGGAACACCAACCCAGACGAACTCCTCTCGGCTGATAGAAATTTCGTAACATAACTGAGTGGACAAACAGCTCACTGGAGTTTTACAGGGTGGCTGGCTGGCTCAGTGCCCCGGGCCTGAAAGGGTAACCCCACCACAAACTGCTCGTCCTTGGGGGGCCCCTTCCTGTGGGGATTCCCCTTGTCACCTTCAGCATCACCATGGCACCCCCGCAGTCCCTGCCCCTGCAACAGGGCAGCTCAGAGAGGACCAAATCTGAAGATATGGGGACAAGGGAAAAGTCACTCATGGGGACCAAAGCAAAGCAGCTCGCTGCTGTCGCTGCTGTGCCATGGCGCTGAGGGTGCCCCGAGCAGATCAGGCCTGAGGTAGATATTTGTACGTGTTTTTTCCCCTCCTTTAAATGCATTTCTCCTAGCAGCAGCAGCAGCAGGTGAGTGGGTATCTGGGGACTAGCAGGACATATGGATGTCCACGAGTGATGGAGCATCCCTGGTGCCTCTCCTCTCCCCGGGGGAGGAGGGGGAAGGTGGGGGGAGGGTGTGCTGTGCTCGGACCCCCTACCAGCCCTCTACCAGCCCTCAGTTTACAGCCGTGCCTCCGTGTCTGACTTTGCAAGGGATGGAGAAGGGGTGGGGGTCCCGATGGGGTCCCTATTGGGAGGGGCTCTGCAGCCCAGCCCGGAACGTGCTCCTTCCCTCCCTCCCCTCCCCGGGCCCCGGTTCGGGGTCCGAGCTGGGGTTGCAAAACCCACCTCG